AAAAAACAGTCTCGTCTGTTACAGAAATAAAACATTAAAAAGGAAATAAAAAAGAAGCAAGGCGCTCTCTAATTTCCATAGATTAGACATAAAAATTATCACCATGCAGGATTAGTAGAAATATAGCTTAAATGTAAACATACATAAAATAGAAATACAGATTACATGTAAAATCTAATCTCTAATGAATGCAATGAAAGCACTTTTCAAGTACTATTGTTTGCTCAGTGTGCAGAAATATTACCCAGAAACTGTCCTGCAGTGTATGCAGACTTGCCTGAAGATCCATCATATCTCTTGCTTCTGTTATCTATATGTTTTGGGAAACTTTTATTTTAATGGGAAATGTTTTCATAAAGGAGAGGAATGCCAGGAAAGAGAAAACAGAACCATGGGAAGGTGTCAGGCTTTCTATTTTTGTTATTTGCTATATTTTGAGAAGTTTAAATTTCTTCCTGTGATAAACTTCGAAATATCCCGGAACGGATACTGTTATTAGATTTTAACCAGCTTACTTCCTCTTTTTACCCTTTAAGGAAATGCACAATTTATATGGAGTTCAAACTTTCTTCCTGTGTTTGGAAGACAGCACTGGAGCTTCCTTTGGTGTTTTCCTAATGAACAGCAATGCCATGGGTAAGAAAACTTTCCCTGTAGCTCCCAGCACTGCAGTTCAGTGATATATAAAAGATATGAGACCTGGATCAAACCTGTTGTGTTTGGTGTGTGTGACATAAGCAATAAGGATTCCATAGTTAACATGAGCTTTACGTTGTGCTTTAAACCTGAGGGTCAGAAATGTATCCAAAGCATGTACACCTCTGGACAGATGTGCAGGACACTGGAATCAGAGACTAAATTTGGACTGAGCACACTTGAAAGTAAATGCCCTTTATTCTCTTAGATAAGCATGCATATCTGTATGCTTTACAGAGCTCTTCGCTGCTCTTGAGGCTGGAAAGTTGTACAAAAATTTATAGATAAAAGGTTGAGCCATTGTTTTTTTTCTGATTCTCTTCTCTGTAGGCTGTAAAGGAATGGAAATCTGGACATTTAAAAGCTCCATCTGAATACATTTCCCCTTCATTGCAAATTCAATTAATGGTTTTGGCTTCCTTAGCTTTTTTTGGGGGTTGTGTTTTTATCTTAAGTAAATTTTCTAATCATCAGTTAGAAAGTTACAAGTTTATTTTAGAATTACCTGATATTCAGGATTGGTTTTGTGCACTCTTGTCTGACAGAGTTTGTGGTGCAGCCTGCTCCAGCAGTGACCTACAGAACCATTGGTGGGATCCTTGATTTCTACATCCTCTTGGGGAACACTCCAGAACAAGTAGTCCAGGAGTACCTGCAGGTACCTTTAGCTAGAGATATTATGCATTGAACAGATTTTTAAAAGTGCTTGGTGTTTTTTTTGTGTGTTTTGGTAGATTTGGGTGTTTACCACTTCTTTATATGACAGTATGTCTTCACTGTGTTATCTATTAACTGAAAATATGTATATGCTTATATTACAGTGTATATTTAACTAAGAATAACTTTTACTGTGTCTCTAATGTGACTGCTGTTGTTAGTATTAACTATGTGAGGATAAGCTGGGGATAACTAGATATTTTTAGCTGTCCTGTTACAGGCAGCTGAAGCTTATGCACTACTTTTGCTGAAGATGCTGGAGCAGGGAGAATGCAGCAGCTCAAGGCCCAAGGAACCTGTAGCTGCTAAATTCATCAGTCTGTATGGTCTGAATGGAGCTAGAGGTGGTCTACATGGAATAAATTCTCCTTCTTTGCTGGGGCTCGCGTATGTTATAAGGACAAATTTCTGTTCAGAGGCAATATTGTAGGGTAGATAACGTGCTTACAGGTATGTCATGGTTTTATGGTCATAAGATATCACTGATATCTTTTATGCTTCTTGAGATCTGCTTAATTTTCAGTGACACTTTAAAGCATGTGTATTGTTCCAAAACATTTTCTTTTCTTAAAAATAAAAAAAAGATAAATATTGCATTTAGGAGTGGGTGGCTCATTTCACACACTCAAGCTTAGTGTACATTCATAAAATCACAGACTGTTTTGGGTTGGAAGGGACCTTTCAAAGTCATCTAGTCCAACTCCCCTGCAGGGAGCAGGGACATCTGCAACCAGAGCAGGTTACTCAGAGCCCCATCCAACCTCATCTGGAATGGTTCCAGGGATGGAGCTTCAACCACGTCTCTGGGCAACCTGTGCCAGGGGCTTTCCACCCTCAGTGTAAAAAGATTCTTCATAAGTCTAGTCTGAATTTCCCCTCTTTTAGTTTAAACCCCTCACCCCTTGTCCTAACACAACAGGCCCTGCTAAGAAGACTATCCCCACCTTTCTTATAGGCTCCCTTTAAGGAGATTTGAGGAGTATGGATCTAGGGAAACGGGCACTGAGGTGACACACACAGTGTCCACTGACTGTGCATGGGATTTTTGCTCTCAACTTGCAGCTCGTGGGAATGCCACCCTTGCCCTCCTACTGGAGCCTGGGCTTCCAGCTCAGCCGCTGGAATTACGGCTCTCTGGAGGAGGTGAAGAGAGTTGTGGAGAGGAACAGGGCGATTGGACTCCCTTATGTAAGTATGGGCTGTGAGGAGGGCAGCAACCCTGTGAAGGCAAAATTCTGCAGGAGAAATGACCCAGAGAGATCCTGGCCATGGTGTTCTGCAACTACTTCATTTGCCATCAGTTTCAATTAGTCAATTCTAATATATGGGCTTCTGGTGTCAAAGGGCTTTGTGTATTTTAATGGTAGATCCATTATCTGAACATGGGACATGATGGGACATAATTACAGTAAGCTTTATTTGAGCACTTTATTGTGATACTTCTTCAGTTTTACTTCCAACTGTATCCAGTTACCTTCTCGTGTTACTTAATCTATGAAATACATTTTTTTAATTGGCCTGTGGACAGCTATGGAACCATATATTATTCTTAATTGACAGCCAAAGGTAAAGTACAATTAACTTTTAAAATTAGATTTTGGATTACATTAGCCTGATGGCTTAAAGAAAATAAAACCACCCTACTGTTAAGCTAAGAGTTGAGGAATAAATGTTTGGATACAAGGGGATAGTTCTTGAAGTCAGGCAACTGCAAGGAAATAGCCACATGGCCAGGGGCTATTTGAAAGCATGCCAATACACACATTCATTTAAATTCTGTTAATGTTAAATGCAGCTCTTTGGAGACCCAAAAGAGGTGTCAGGACCATTAATTAGAGCTGTAAAGATGAGGTGAGATGCACATTGTTTGCAAGCAGACCTGACAGCCTGCTGTCTGCCAGACTGCAGTGAGGTCCCAGCAGTAAATTCACTATAGGACAAATGGGAATTGTCAGAAGAAATTGCGTTGGGCAAATATAAAAAGTCTTTACAAATCACTTCTCCTGTTAAAGCTGAACTCCCTTCTCTTTCAGGACGCTCAGGTCACTGATATTGACTATATGGAGGAAAAGAAAGATTTTACTTATGACAAAGTGAAGTTTCGAGATCTCCCTAATTTTGCAGCCTACATGCATGAGCGTGGACAAAAATACATTATCATATTGGTAAACATTTAGGAGTTTCTTTTTCCCTTGTAAATGCAACTATTTATTATTATACTTTGTTTATTCTATGGAATTATTACATTATTGCCTAACATTCTAGTCGTCTATAACAACTGACAGTGTATCCTGGTTTCTTCCTATTTTTTGTTTTCTGTCTGGTTTTTTGTTTTTATTTTTTTAGGATCCTGCTATTAGCACACAAAATCTAGTTGATGGTAGTCCATATGGAAGCTATGTCAGGGGAGAGAGCAAAAAAGTCTGGGTTAATGAATCAGATGGAGTAACAGCATTACTTGGGGAGGTAATTGCATTTTTATGAATCTGAACCTGGTCTCTTGTCACTGTTATGGTTTAATTTAGGTCCTTTTAAACTCTTGTTTTCTAAGTTGCTTCTTTCAGTAAAATTCCCTACCAGTGAGGACTAAGTTTATAAGGTCTCACTTAAGATATGATACTTCTTATCATTTTTTGATTTTTTTCCCCAATTTTTTTTTTTAATTAAAAAAAAAAACCAAGGAAAACTAAGTTTGAAGGCTCAAGGGACAATTCATTTATTTTCATTTATTTTCAGTAGTGATTGGAGACCAGTTCCCACACTATCCTTTTAATGTATAATTTTAAATATTCTCTATTGAGAAAATTTTAAATATTCTCTATTGAGAAATCTTTCTGTTGGATATTGTTCCACGTATGACGTAAAAGAAAAGCAACTGAAAACTCTGAAGTTAAGAAACTCATACTCTTTCTGCCTTCTTTCTGCCTGCAAGCACCATGAAAGGTGGAACCAGATGATCTTTCAAAGTCCCTTCCAACCTGGATTGTTCTATGATTCTATGAACTCTTTTTAACTTAATTAAAACATTCCTTAATTATTTCCCCTTTTAATATTGCAGGTGTGGCCAGGGGAAACCGTGTTCCCAGACTTCACCAACCCAGAATGCCATAGCTGGTGGGTGGAAGAATGTAAACTATTTTATAGCAAAGTGCCATATGATGGGATCTGGATTGTAAGTGGCTCAGAACTTCCTTTTCATTTTTATAAATAAGCAAAGATAAATGTTTATCAAATTGTTGGCATTGAATTTGAAAGAGATGTTTACTATTGCTGACCTGAAATCAGTGCAGGGTGCATATGTCTTATGGGGTTGACTTTCTAGTTCAAATTTGAATTTTAAAGTTTAATCTGAATCATTAATCAGGGCATTTCAATGATCAGTGTGTTGGTTTGAGGAAGTTCAATGACACTCTACACACTTCAGTTGATGAACCATTGCTAAGGGCACATACTAGTACACTCTTGTACTCAGAATAGCAATATTTGGAGATCTGTGTACCTGCTCAGTGAAAGTGTGCTAGAAGGTCCAGAGAACAGGGTGTAATACCCATCATCTATGTATCTGTGCTCCAAGGAGCTCATGGAATTTCTGGTTAGGGAATCTAGAATTGCTGTCCTGGATAAGGATTTGGAAAAATTAAGCTCCTTAGGCGTGTTCTGCCACAAAGGACCAAAATACAGTCTGTCACAGTGAATTTTAAGGGGGAAAAAAAAAAAAAAAATCATGGAAATCAGATGAGATTAAGAATGATTTTGATTGATCTGGTTATGTTTTTTAAACAAATGTCCTGTAATAAAGCTTCTAAAAGTGGATACCTGAAGGAAAACTACTGAAACTACTCAATCACTCTTTCAGAGCCTTCTTCCCTTTATACTTTTTGTATTTTTTCCTACTTCCTTTTACTCAAAGATTCCTATTTTGAAAGAAAAGAAGCATCTACTAGATATTTTGCCATGCAATTTAAAAAGCTGTAACAATTTTAAATTAAAAAAAAAAAACTATAACAAAAAATATTTTTTTTATTATTTAAATATTAAAAAAAAATGACTGTATGGCAAAATACAGTCTGCATGGTTGTTTCTCTCTCACATTATCACTCCTCTCTCTGGATGCAATGGTGCAGGGTTTTTTTCCCCTTCTGCTATATGTCATCCCAGAGGTGCTACCACCATTGCTGATGGGCCTGGCCTTGTCCAAATTTGGAAGTGGCTGGGGTTGGCTCCCTCAGACATGGAGGGAGCTTCTATCAGACATGGAGGAAGCTTCTGGCAGATTCTCACAAAACTCTCCCCCATGCCCTTTCACTACCAAAACCTTCCACGCAAACCCAATACAATGTGATAGAACGAGTTTTTCTCACTTGTTTTTGCTGACTCTGTGGTTCCATAAAGTCCAGCTATGCCATGTAAGCCTGCGCAGGTCTTTTACACAGAGCGAATCATTTGGGTGAAGCCCACTGGTCACTAGGCTACTGTGTCTCCATGATGAATTTGCTCTCTCCTTCCATACATGCTTTTCCTGCAGCATGTTCAGGGGTGCACATAGGAATGCACTTAGAGCACTGCCAGATAAAATACAAAAAAATGGAAGGAGGCAGCAAAGCTTGAAAGTATAATGGGTTGGAAAGCATTATGAAGGAGACATGTAAGAATATCTAGTCACTGTGTATATTTTGACAAAAAGTAACGATACACATTTGCTGGTTCTGCATTTCTCTCCATGCTCCATACCAAAGACATTTCCATGAGAGATGTGCGGTGTTGGTCATAGGTAGGGACAGTGGACACATGAGCACTTGTTGCAGGTCCTTTCTGTGGGGTGATAAGATGTAGCTCTTGCAACATGACACACACCTGCATGTAGAAGTCTGTCCAACATTGAGACCTGTATTAATTCAGGAATGGAGTAGGTCAGTATCTGAGTTGTATCATTCTTGCCTAATTGTCCTGTACTAGTTCTAAGTAATTGCTCCTTAAAGGATAAAAGAATAGAACGTATGATTTTGTTAAAGGAAACTTTATTTCACTCTGCATCTTATCTTTTCAGGATATGAATGAAGTGTCCAACTTCATTAAAGGCTCAAAAAAAGGCTGTGCTCAGAATGACTTAAACTACCCTCCCTTCACACCCAGTAAGTCCATCTACTTTAACCAGAAAGCATAACAACAAAAAGTTTACGAATTAATCTGCAATTGGCTATATGGTGGCAAACTGATTTTTAGTGTAGTTCGTATGAGTGGAGCTTGAACATTGCTATTGGCAGAAAATACCAGTAGTCTTTGGCCCAGGGTGTGTGGTTTATATAACTGGCTTTTGTTCCCTTTTCAATTATTACTGAATATTATCATTGCCTTAATTATGTCTGATATTATAAAGATCTTCTTTCACTATCAGTAGTTGTCAAGACATATGCAGAACTCAAGTGGACTTCACTGTTTGTATTACGTAGTGTGTTTAATTAACTGGTGCCAACATTTTGTCAGATACTGAAACAAATTTAGAGCATAGGTCTCAGTTATTCATTGCATGGGTGCAAGGCTTGAGTAGAAAAACTCAAGAGAACAAAGATGACTCAAACCAGCAGCCAGGAGTAGCCTTTTGTCTTTGTGATAGTAACACTGGCTTTAGTGCAAACATTAAAGAGGAAAAAGGGCTTGAATATAATGAATGTGTATTAACGAAAAAATTGGAAAGATTCATAATAAAAAACACTTTAAAAGTTATATTTGTACTTCTTTATTGAAGATATTCTTGAGAAGCTCATGTTTTCCAAGACAGTTTGTATGGATGCAGTTCAGAAGTGGGGGAAACACTATGATGTCCACAATCTTTATGGATATTCCATGGCCATATCAACACGGAAGTAAGTAATGCACCCTAAATTCTTTACAAAAAGGTTTCAGAACAGTCCATGGCCTGTGTTTTCCAAAAGAGCAAGAGATTTCACTGCTAAGGAATCCAGTTCCTGGAGAATACTCTATAATATTTAAACCAATGCAGCTAAAGCAAAATCTCCTAAGTAAAGTTGGCAGTAAAAGCCACACACGATGGTTGTCAAAGCTGTATAGAAAGATTATTTAAAATGAATGTCTTGAACTTCACTAAAATACACCTGGCTAGCTGTAAAGGAGTCCACATCCCCGGGATGAGTAATTATTGTAAATCCATCAGTGTAAATCCCCTACAGAAAACTATTCAAGTCTGAGTCATCTTTTTTCTTTTGTCTCCCTTCCTTTAAGAGCCATTGAAGTTCTGTTTCCTGGAAAAAGAAGCTTCCTTATTTCGAGGTCTACTTTTGTGGGATCAGGAAAACACACAGGACACTGGCTGGGAGATAATGCAGCAACATGGGAACATTTAAAATGGGCAATACCTGGAATGCTGGAATTTAACCTCTTTGGATTTCCTTATGTATGACATATGATTTGAAAGGATGGCACAAACTAAGGGATAAACAGTAACTCTACCTCTCTGATGACAGATGATCTAACCAGATGCCCTCTAGATAACCATCTTATATTTTCAGCCCCAAATTAATCTCCTTTAGGAATCTAGTTTTAAAACTTTTTTCCAATTATTGATTTTTGGTTTAGGCCACTTATTTTGATCATTGTGGCTCTGTGTGTGTATGGTGAGATAAATGTGTGTAACGAATGTATTATCTTAGATATCCCAAGCTACCTGCTACTTCTTCTAATCTTTAAACACTAGTGATTGCTGTGAAACATTTGGCTGTTTTTCTTATAATTTCAAATGAAATAGAGACACCCGTTTATAAGGGAAATAACTGAATTATTTTTCCTGAATTAAAATTGTATGACCCTTATTTTTCTTAATGTAGGCATATTAGCATCAAACAGTAATGTAAAGGTTCAGAAGGAATAGAACAGTATGGGCAGAGTTAGTGAGTAGTCAGTTTAACTTTTTCTACCACACAGGTGAATTTGAAAGAAAAAAAAGGTACAAATATGTTGGATGGCTCAGTTGCTCTGGCTAGCAGTTAAAGTTGAATGAATAAATCTCTGAAAACTAGCAGTTTTGTAGAGATTAAATGCTTAAATTGCTTAAATTATGCTTAAATTCTTTAATTATTTTTTAAATACCTTACTTAAATAATTAAATATTAAATTAAACTTAAATTGCATAAAATTGCTTAAATTAAATTAAAGATGCTTAAATTATGAAATAAAAGGTACAGTTTACTGTACATCCAACACATTCTGGTTTTATTTGAAGATTGGAGCAGATATTTGTGGCTTCTTTGACAACACTACAGAAGAACTTTGCAGGCGATGGATGCAAGTAGGAGCATTTTACCCATTTTCCAGAAATCACAATGCTGAAGGGTTCATGGTAAGTTGTGCTTTCTCTTACAAAATACTTGATGTTACACTGCCACTTTCCATTTAAAATCCCAGTGCAGATCTGCACACTTGAATTTCAGCATCTGTGAAACAGCAGCCACTTTTCACAGGTTTCTCAGAGAGTTTTCTGCATGGTGAAAATTATAATAATTTTTTTTTTTCAGTCTCAGGATCCGGCTGCGTTTGGACCTGATTCAGTCTTGGTGAACACCTCCAAGCATTACTTGAATATTCGCTACACTTTGCTGCCATACTTGTATACACTCTTTTATAAAGCTCATACTCAAGGAGGCACAGTTGTCCGGCCAGTTTTGCATGAGTAAGTTTACCCAGCAGCCTTTGGGATAATTTTATGAGGAAGAAAAACATCAGACACATTAAAATGTTGTTAGGGACTTGCTAAATGTAGTCTGTGCAGATGCACATTGGAATATATATATATAGACAGCTTCTCAGCTTATGAAATAACATTTTGGAGTAATCAGAAGAGTAATCAGAAAGCATCTATGATTTCTCCACCTATGCATTTATTATTGTCAGTCACTCTTGTGAGTGGCTCTGAGATGTTATTGTCTGCTAATCAAATTATTCTCCCCCAACAAATATATACATACACACACGTATAAGAATATATATTTGCTTGGCTGGCAACTCTTGAATAAGAGTTTTTTGTCAAGAATGCACACACACGTATGTTTTGGCACATGTGTAGAGGTCACCAACTATAAACTAGTATGACTTTCTGATCATTTAAAAAAAAAAAAAAAAGGCAATTTTGATATGACACTCTTGAGTCATGATTGTAGAAAATCTGTACCCTGAAATATTTGGATTGCTGGTGATTACATAGTTCATAAAAGTACAGTTAACTGTTATATCCCTCCCATGTGCCCAGGTTCTACTCTGATGAAGTGACGTGGAGCATTGACAGGCAGTTCCTGTGGGGTCCTGGGCTGCTTATCTCCCCAGTACTTGACCCGGTAGGTTTTGGTATTGTTGGGGTGACAATGAGTGACAAGTTTCAGCTCATTTCTCTGGCAAGGGACTGCAGCCTAAAATCTTATAGTTACATGATTCCTGTCACTGCTTTACTGGTCTGGTTAGAAACCATCTTCCAGGTCTGAAACTTTGTTGTTCAGTCTTGTGACAATTCTGTTATTCACCTTAAGGCTTTTAGTCCCTCTATGTATTTCTTGCAGGAATCACACTCCCCCTCCTTTTTTTTTTTTTTTATGCTGAACAAGCTGAACTGCAGAAGTAGACTCTGCCATTTCCCTGAGAATCACAGGAAATTTGCTCTGGTCCTATTCTCATCTGAACACTTCTGTCTTGACCAGACCTGTAAACTCAATTGGCAAAGCAATTGTGGATTAGCATTAACACAGCTGTATCTCCAGTACAAACATGTGGGGTTTTTTTTTCCCTAAATCCTTATGTTATATTAATTTTTTCATGGATACATCACTTTACTGACTTCTGGCTGCAGATGAATTCCTAACAAGCCTAATTTTGTTTTTTTTTCCTTCCCAGCTTTCATTTATTGCTTACAGTGAGAGCCCACTGCATATTTTTATCACTGCTGAAATGGAAAAATCTTACACTTTTGCCTATTAAACCCCACTCCTATTTCCCAGTCCTCTAGGGAGTCAGTCGTCTCGTCTGATATTCTGATTCACCATAGTTTTGTATAATATCTTAATTTCCTTCAGAATCAGCTTCTCTTGCTGCAATTCAGCTTGTCTGTGGTGCAAAAAGAAAACTGTGGCTTGTTCTGTGGCAGAATTGTGCAATTCATAATTGTTAATGCCAGTAGTACATATGCCAAGGAGAAATACAAAACACTAGTTAAATATATAAAACGAAAGCAAAGATGCCAGCCCAGGAAAAAAAAAAAAAAAAAAAAGTGAAAATAAAGAAGAAATAGAGATATTTGTGGATATGATCAGATTAGAGGCACTGCGACTTTGGGTTGCATACAATGAGCTGCCACATTGTAGAGCAAGGATTGAGTTGACTCCCAGTAGCCTGGCAGAAACTGTCCTTGAAACACTCCCTTTCTGGACATCGTCATAAAAAATACTAATGAAAACATCAATGAGGAGAAGTATCAATGATTTTTCTCAGTGTGAACTTTAGTTTTTTTTGGAAAATGTAGTAGATTTGATTGAGTTGCCTTCATATATGAAAGCCAGTTCTTTGTTCACCTTTCAGGGTGTGGACAGAATCCAAGCATATATCCCTGATGCAGTATGGTATGAGTATGATACAGTAAGTGAAGGCAGAGGGTACTATGGGGGATTTTCTAAATGGCTATATGACAAAATAAGGTGGTCAGCCCTGCTTTGGTGACAATAGACCTAAAGTAAAGCCCACAGGAAGGAAACTGTGAGATAAGGGATGAAGGGTGGGGGGATAGGTGTGTGAATCAACACCTCAACAAAGGCCATGGAGCTGTGGAATATAGCACAGGAGATGGGAAGACAGATTGAGTGGAAATTCTAGCAAATACCATGTTCAAAACAAAATACAATAATTACCATAATACACCAGAGTCTGAAATTATCATTTACTAATCTCATTTCTGCAGTCCCAGCAGGATTTGCTTTCTGCATTGCCTGAGCCAAGACTAAATATGAGAGATGCTGATTTATGACATTAGATCATATTGATATGCAGCTGGTTTATCTTTATGTGCCCATTGGCACACAGATATTTGCATAACTTAAGCCTTTTCTAAAAGGAAGCATTAAAATGAAACTCAAGACTTTAAGATGTTCACAGCAGCATGCAGTGCAATGTACCCATTCTCTTTTTACATCCCTGTCAAAAAGGGAGCAAAAATCTCGGTGAGAAAACAATGGACCAATATGTACCTGCCAGCAGACAAAATGGGACTCCATTTGAGAGGAGGCTACATCTACCCTACTCAACAGCCAGCCAGCACAACAGTTGCAAGGTATGCTTTAAAATAAAAATGGGTTTTGGTTGTTTTTTTCTTTTTTTTTAAGACCGGGCTGAGGTATTTCAGGTTTCAAATCAGTAGCAGCCCATTGTATTTATCACTTTCACCTTGAAATATAGGAATAACTGTGAGCAACACCTCGCTCCCACAGCTATTTACATTACAGGTTCAGTGATTAATTATAGATCTATTTGCATAGCATTTTGTAAGCTTGCTGTGTATTTTAATCTGGTTACATGAGAATGAAAGGCAACCAAGGACTAACCTAAGGCAATTCTCAAAGTATTCCAACCCTGTGAAGGATTCTTCATAACATAAACATGACGGATATATTGAGACTATTTAGGTATTTGTTAGACATGCAAGACAAAGTGTCTCTTTCCACAGCCGCAAGAATCCAATGGGACTTATAATTGCCCTGGATGACAACAGTGCAGCTTCTGGGGACCTCTTCTGGGATGATGGAGAATCTACAGGTGAGCAGTTATCAGTTGGGAAAGATATATGACAGACAAGGTATTAATTGCATGCAAGTTTCAAACTTCTGCTGATTTCATGGGATAAGACATTATGGATGTTGTAATGTGCTGTTAATACTTGACCATTACTTTTTCATCAATGGACAACTATAACTAATTTCGTTTCTCCTTGTTCAGTCTTCACTGTAGCCTTCAATACTCAAAGGTTTGGTGCATGGGAAGCCTAGAATGCTTTGGGTTGGAAGATTAGCATGCTGACTGTTACACCATGCTGTCAAGTCTGATATATATTCTGGTATATATCCAAATTAGTTTCAACGGGTGCAAGAACACACATATTTAGTGTTTGACACTAAAGATTTGCTAGAAGATGAAAAACTAGCCCTGTTATTAACTCTCTGGGATTCTTTAGATTGCTTGTGAAAGCAGCAGAAATTTTGTTAACCCCAAAGTATGATACTGGAGCCAACTTTTTTTATGCCATCTGGTTTCTACAGCC